AAATGGAGCAATGTTTAGCTCCAAATTTTGCTAATAACTATATGGCTTAGTTAAAGTTTCAAATAATTCAGGCAATAATCCTAGTTTCTAAGTAATTATTTTATTATGTGGATGGATACTTTGCTGCTGTGAAAAACAGCAAATACCAATTAAAAGAATTCCATGATCTAATAAAGAGATATGATGGGATAAATAAATTAGCAATGGAGTCAGTAAAAAGCTGCAAGCCACAATTTCTGGATATCATAGTAAGTATAGAAGAAGCCAAACTGAGTATAGATGTACATAGGGAATCCAAAAATATGATTCTTCTTAACTTACTTTATGATCAAACATATGGAGCTTAATTAGGGAGTTAGAAATTTGATAGCAATATAACGTATGCATCTTGCAGACACTAATCCCCGAAGACCCGACCTAAAGTCAGCTATAATCCAAATGATGCCAAACTTTTAGCATCTGTAAATTTAGATTAACAATGTTAGATATAATAACCTAGAAAGGAGTAAAGTATAACCTCCAAAGACGTAGCTTAGAAAGCGTGACTATCCTAAACATTCCGCCCCTTGGCTTTTGCCATCATCATATATCGAAGGAACATAGATTTAATGAAATACCATAGGCCATGCATGGCAGTGAAGAGAAGTTGGAGCAACAATATACTTTATGGAACCAAATAAAGACAAATTTGAGATGAGAGAACTCAAGTAAATTTTATCCATTATAGGAAGCTTATAGAATAATGTAGATACTCTGGGCTAAGAACATATTAAGTCTTTTTCAAAAAAGGCCAAACGATTGAAATATTTTACACCTACTTTGCTATGCCAAAAAGTCAAAGTATTATCTAAACTAAAAAGCAGTAGCTGTCAATAAATTTTATCTTTGTTCTTAAGCAATATCTTAAGTATTTAAACATCTAAGTAAATTAATTACTAACTTTTTACTAAGCTTCGGTTATGCATAATAGTTACCCGCGCTGTTTGTCCCTCTAATTTCCTGTTCTCATTACATTTATGATTTTTCGTATCCTCGAGGTCTTTTTTTTGTATATATACTACAAATTCTTCAGAAGCTTCTTTAAATTTATCGTTCATTTGTTAACGGGAAAGTGTGAACTTCTTAGGCTAGCCAATTACTCATGTTGTGCTTCGCAACGCACTCATATGATAGGTAATTTGCCCTTTTTGACGTTTAGAATATTCACTTCGACACTCAAAAAATGAAAAACTTCGTTCCTCAGTTTTATGGAGTCCAAATTTCAATTTAGACTCTTTCATTAGAGACGTTATAATCATCAAGAATGTGTCAGAACAGTACCGGGCAATCTTTAAGAATATTATGGACTTGACATTTCACCAACTTCATGGATATCAAATGCTATGTAACGCATTAGAAAAAAAACGCTCTACAACCTATTCCAAAGATGATCCTAATCACGAAGAGACTCTGATTAAAGTTATTAATTAAGTGAATTTTACAACTTTTATAGTTATGGAAGCTTCTTTACCCAGATGTGCCATTGAAAAATAGGATATCTAAGCAATGGTGTGAAATAGGATTTCAAGGCGATGATCCTGCTTCTGATTTCCGAGGAATGGGTTTGCTGGGATTAGAGACCATGATGTGGGTAATCGTTTATCCGATTGATGTCTTACTTCTTCAAAAAGTTGGATGATCTACATGATTTTACAGATTTTTCTGTGAAAGGCACATGGATAAGGCGATTAGTTTTATTTCGGCTTCAAATCACCCATCAAGGGGGTAGGTAATTTTCCTTTGCAGTTTAAGGTAGATATCCCTATGCTCTTGTCAGCATAAATATCACTCAGATGGCCTATACATTTCTTCTTGATGGTACCCTCAAAAATCGTTTTTACAATACGATCCGTGGAGCTCCTAGTACTGAGGACTTTTACGATATATTCTGTGAGT